GAGACATGAAAAACGTAATTTGAATTTCGTCACTCGGCCCAGTAGAACGGAAGATATAGAACTTTGCGCAGTGTACCTTCATTACTGACTGCCCGTATTTGGAGATGGTGGTGTGTGTGTGTGTGATTATGGCAAAAGCCTCGAGGGCTATCTGCCTAAGAGGAGGGATCCTTCGTGGAGGACTTTCTAAGGGAAATTGGCTCGTATACACGTTACACATGGGGAAAACCACGAAAACGCCCATGCAGCCAGCCCGTTCGCGGGATTCGAACCTCGGACCGAACTACCAGTGTTCAGCGATTTTACCGCTCGGCCGCTGGTGGGCTTTAGAGATGGTGGAAGGAATTTTAAATAACCGTCACCTCAAACGGAATGCAATATTTTTCATAGTTGTGTAGCAGAAATCACATGGTTTTAACTGACTTATTTCCTCGCATGTGTTACTTCTATATTAATTTATCTAGCTCAGATAATCACTTGGTATCTGTGACATACAAATATTCTCATTCAAAAAGGATTCGATTTATACCAGTACATTTTTTGATTTGTTCGTTTTAAATTGCAAAGAATTTTTTCCTTTGTATTTCTATATATGCATTACTTAACAAATATCACAATGCAAATGTTTTTGTGTCACGAACATTTCTTTTATACATTATCATTATCTCTTACAGTTGTGGACAAATGCCCCTTGATGATAGGGAAGTGCAATGGTACCAATGAAGAATGCAAGAACAGTGTTTGCCAGTGCAAAGCGCATTTCAAAAGAGACAGTAAAAAACAGTGCATTCGTGAGTTTTTACTCTATAGCCTATTTCTTTTTAACCAAATATTACTTCAATTCGTATAAAGAATTTAATGAATAATCAGTTTCAAGCTTGTGCAAATAAATTTTTATATTGCCAGAAAACAATATTCCTAATTAAAAGTCTTATACATATTAATTTCTAATTTGAATAAGATACTTATAAAATAATAAATGAGTACCTGAATGTAAGATACGAGAATATAAATTTAGATGAACGTTAAGGTTGCAATATGTTTTAAGTATTAATAATTATAACGTTGTGTAGCTTATCTCCGGATTTCCCATACTTTGCCAGAACTGGACTTTTGACCATCGAATCAAAGTCCCAGAATTTGAAAAGGTTAAGTATCTAGTCGACTAGTCGAAAGAACTTTATTTATTATTTAACTCAGTAATCATTCAAAAGAATGTTACTTGAAAATCCCTCTAAATCTCAAAATTTAGGTGATTAAAATTAAAGTTTATTTTTCATGCATTTTTAACTTCAGTACACTGGAAAACACGTTAGGATGCCTTTGGAGATGGTTTTGTTGTGGTTTTTTTTTTTATTTTGTATGTAGAATATATCTTAAATTTAGCGTTATGACTGGCTGCAAGCGAATAACTTTAAGCTGCATTTCTTATAATTATTTTATATTTCATTCTTGTTGAAAAGTATCTGTATTAGAAACGATCTAAAAATATAAATTTAAGGGTTTAATAATACAGCGAGATATAACTAAAGTTCTTATTCACCTTATGAAATACAGGGCGCTTTTAAATGCATATCGGGGTTTTAGCGCTTTATTTATTACGTAAAACTTAAAGTTATAATTATACATGAAATGAAAGAGCAACTCAAACAAGCAGTTATACCTACAAGCTTGCGAGTGTTCAATATGAGCACCTTTCGTCACACTGCACACATCAAGTCGATAGCTCAGTTCTTCCCAAACGTTGATTAGTGTTTGTAGTATAATTGTTGCAACAGCTGCCTCAATCCTGTTTCTTAGGTCAGGTAAGTACGCTGGGTAGTGGAGGCACAAACACACGATTCTTTATGAACTTACTCACACGATCCTTTATGAACTCAACACTATCTTCACTAACCCTTGGTCGTCCCGTACTCTTCCCTTTGCAAAGGCAGCCGGTATTTTCAAACTGATGATACTATCTACAGATGTTATTATCACTTTGGGGATCACATCTGAACTTAATTCGAATCACACGTTGCACAGAAGCTACAGATTCGATCTCTGCAAACTACAGGACACAAAAGGGTTTCTCTTCACCAGTCGCCATTTTTGCTGCTATTTTCCATTTTTGCTACTATTGTAAAGCTCAGTACCAACAAACAGAACTGTTTGAGTTGCTCTCGGAAAAATGAGCGTGGAAATTAACATTTCCGCACTTTTTAATTAATATCTCAACCGATTAAAGTCGTACGAAGATGAGAACGGTATCGATGGATACGGAGAACATTTTAGAATCGGAGAATACGCGTCTCGAATTTCAACTCGGCGCCGTTCCGTAGATATTCGAGAAAAAAAAAAATTTGGCACGCAGCCAAATCCCTCTAATAGGGAAAACCCAAGAAAGAAAGTGGAGAATGTAGGGAAAACGTAGGGCAAAATTAGTTTTTAATTAATATCTCGGCTAATTAAAGTCCCAAGAAAACGCAAATGGTCAAAATGGTGTGCCACGGACCTGCGGAATTCTATGATGTGCTTCGCTAAGCCCGGGAGCCAGACGTTTCGGAGGAGATGATTTTACTTCACCCCATATATATATATATATATGCGGGTTAAGTGTCTGTTTGTCGCCGACAGTTTATTGGTTGCTTGGGTAAATGTACTAGCCAATGATGTGAAGTTGCACGGCACAGGGTTGCCGTTTAAATTGAGACGTAGACAATTTCCTGTAAAACTTGCCTTTGCTATGACCATCAATAAGTCTCAGGGCTAAACGCTTAAGCGTGTTGGCATTTTTTTCCTGAGCCTGCATTTGGGCACGGTGAGCTTTATTTTGCCTGTTCAAGAGTTCGTGAAAGAACGGACGTAAAATTAAAAATATTGGATGGTCCTCTGCAAGGCGAGCTTAAAAATGATGGAAAGATCTACACAAGAAACGTTGTGTACAAAGAGATCTTTGACATGTGAATTAATATTTCATTATTTAAATCATCTTTATTGATTGAACTAGCGGTGGACTCTTAAGAAATGCACCGCCAGTGGTTTGCTTCATTGTACTCTACTTTAAGAAATTAAGCAAGTAGAAGGGGGAAACCCCGTGGGGCAGTAAACAAAGGGCTGCCCTCGCCGCCTGCCGTGGGTAATTCAGTTTAAATTAGAAGACACCTTTGCACAAATCATTTTAATTACAATTTATAATATCTAGAACAGCGGTCATTTCGTATGACCGCCGGGCTTTCTAGTGTATTAATTATGATTTTATGTTTCATGTAATAAGTACTAAAAAGCGTTAAAAACCCCGATATTCATTTAGAAACACCTTACATTGTAGCTTGGTGGCTATGCAATACCATCTTGCATAGCTAATCCGAAATCTCTCCTCAAATTATGGTAGAGAATAATAGTATTTATTGCTCTAGCACCTTTAAATTTCATTCTCAGTTTTCGTAGAATTCGACAAAATTTCTTTGCAATATGCTGAATGAGTAGATATGACTTTTGAGACTCTCTCAATTATAGGAATCTATTAATAAATATTGACTCGAAAAGAAATTTCTAAAAATGCTTTAAATATACAGGCAGAAAATTACAAGGAGAAAATAATTAAATCCTTACATAGTTTAACTAAGTATGTCTTTAATTGGTTTAGTGCCTTAAAGCCCTCCTTTCTTTAGTTAGTACCTCGTGAATGGTTGTCACCTAGATCAAAAATTACCTGAAGCAAAGAGAGAAAGTAAGAAAATAACTAAGCCTTTGTACATGTTATGCAAAATTTTGATACAGTACCTGATGTTTAAAGTAAAAAAAAAAAAAAGTAGAGTAGAGAGAGAGTTATCTTTTATACATTCAGTATAAGAATACAAACGTTTATGTATTCTAATACTTCTTTCATTAATCTGCTTACTTTTGTGAGATAAATTCGTAAAACGATAATACTGTTTCTTCAGTTTAATCTGTACCACACACACACACAAAATTATATTGAATATTTTAAATACAACACTTGTAATTCCCACACAGTTATGAGCTCTTGTTTGGTTAACCATCAACATCCTGAGCACAACCACTGCATTTAAAAAAGATACTGTTGTGAAATATGTGAAACATTAGCAGCCAAAAAAGACAGTGGCCAAGAAGGGCTATTAGTCTCGAAACGGCATTTTGCGTCGAATCACTAAAATCGTTGAATGTCTTTTCAGATTGTTGCCATCAAATATTATCGCCTTATATTTTATTTAAACAAATTAAATAATGAAGAATCTGCATGAAAGTATATACGTCTCTCCCACTGTGAAAAAGCAACGGTACACAGAGCCATCGAATTTTGAGGTCCTTCACCCGAACATGGGCACCTGGAAGCCCGAATTTTCAATTTCTTGTTTTATTATGTGTTTCATATTCTGTAAGACTTTAAAAAATTTTTGATTAAAACACTCAACGATTTCAAAGTGAACAGTGACAACACGATACCGAATAAAACCTTTTTATCTCCAGCGTGCCAGATTGTCTATTGAAAATTCTAAAGATGCTGTTTTTAAATGTTTTAAGACCAAAGGGGGTTAGCCCAAGTACTCTCGTAACGTGAATGTGTATGTAAATGGAAAAAAAAAACCACTTTAGTGCTCAATATAAAATCCGAAAGCTTCCAGAATTTTAACATGTTATTTTTATTACGACTGACATGCAACTTCTTTGCTGTGAGCCATTATTTTCTCCAGCCCTGGAATTAAGACATACGTGGGCTTCTACATTTTGAATTATTGTAATTCGAAACATTTTGCACATATTAACAAGCGTTTTACATGAATTTGTTTAAAGAAGATAATGAAAAATAATTTCTTTTTTTCGAAAATATACATTAAATACATGCAATAGTATAAAGTCAATAATTTACTATTTTGAACAATATTTCACATTTGTTTATAGTACATTTCGCACAATAAAAACATGCAGCTTATTGTAAAGCAGATTAAGAATAAATATTAGCTGTGCATTAATAAATTTACATTATTTAATTTCAGCTAACTTCTGTGAAACCAAATCACACTTATGTGGTGAAAACGGTTTATGCGAAGATTTGCTAGATGAGCCTGGAAGAGTGAAATGTACCTGTAAGGAAGGTTATGTATTCAATGGCGAAACTTACAAAAAAGGTAAGGTATATAGTATTATAACTTCTGTAAAACTGAATAAAAGATGAAGTACGTACGTAAATCCAAAAAAAAGGTTACCAGCATCAGCATTTGAAAAGTAATTATTGTGGAGGGAATACTTTATCTCCAGAGTTCTAGGCGGATGGCACTAGTTGTCTAGCAGTGGTTGTGCAGGTAGGTAGAGTAAATTCGCAGACGCGTCAGAACGACTGAAATGGCAAGGCGTTTACAAAAGTAGTCTCGCTTGGAGGAAATCCCCCTATATGCGGTCAGGTCGTAAATTTACAATCCCTTTTTTCAGGGGGAGACTGACAAGCAGAGGATAATCTTGCTCGGGGTCTTGAGAAAATGTGGGGGGGGGGGGGGTCGTTTAAACATCTAACTTCTCTACATTCAGTTTTATACAGAGGAATATACAAATTGAATTCTTCGAATGAATGCAATTTTGTACAATGAAAATGTACTATTGAACGATAAAATGTAAGACAAATAACATCTTTTTTTAAAGACATAGGAGGGAAAGAGATATTTGTTACATGAATGAATTTGTAGTAAATATTGAGGTTTTCATTTCGAATGCTATGTTACATGTATGCGAAGTAGTAGGTATCTGAGAAAATAGTCATAACCCAAATGGCTTTCAACCTTTTCACGTCCTTTTACTGTGTTAAAAATTACTAAATTCGTTTAGCATATAGCTTACATTTTATTAATTTTACTTGTGAATATTCAAATACTGCATTTTTATATTCTTTTTTATTCACACATTTCATAGCAACTAAATATGCTTATGTTGAAGTTTTCACGGAGCCACAGTTTTTGGTAACTTTTTGGCGTGCGTACTAAAATTTATCTTCTAATTTCCTTAATTTTGCAGCACAATGCGCAAAAATTTTTGACCAAAATTGTTCTTTTTTCGTTTGTTCTTACAACTTAACTTTTAATTATCTTATAGATATATGTAGGTATATATAAATGGAGCCAAATATAGAACAAGGTATAAAATATCAAAGAAAAATATCTTTATTATACAAGGTTCAATACCATAACGTATATTTACATAATATCAATATGAATGGTTAGTTATGTTTCGTACATATATAATTATTTTATATTTATAATGTTCATTACCATACGAATATTTATGCAGTATCAATATAAATGGTTAGTTAGGTTTCGTACATATATAATTTATTTTGATATTTTGTATTTTTTGTATTATATTCAGTATTGTATACGTATCTGAAGTTTAATTTTACTTGTTCTCCTTTGGGTTACGACTTTAAGTGAGAAAGAAGGGGATTTGCATTTTGAAAGAGTTAGGGTCTTCATAAGGATTACATTATATACAATCAATTGAGATCCGATTTTTACTTTCTTTTAATCATTCTATATATTTACTAAATACTACTTTATAAGTATACATAAAATATAGCGGTTTGTTAAGCTACTTATTTATTGTTTATAGCTACTTATTAGCTATTGTTTAGTCTGGTTTGTTTTATTATAGCAAAGCATTCGACGGCTATTTGCCTAAGGGTAAGGATGCCTCGCGGAGAACTTTCTAAGCAGTAACTTTCTTATGCACGTTACACGTGGGAAAAACCACGAAAACGCCAATATAGCCATCCCGTTCGCCGGGATTCGAACCCCGGATCGACCTGCCAGAGTTCAACGACTTTGCCACTCAGCCGCTAGTAAGCCACACACACATATCCACACATATACATTAAATTATATTTACATGTCGCTTATAAAGTATAATTGAATGCAATTTAATCATAAAGAGTTAGAAAATATTCTGCGAAATTACTTCACTTCGTAGACTTTTTGTAAGCTTCACCATATTTCTTTAAAGAGAATCTCAATGCTAGTTCCATTTCCAGGCCGTTTATGTACCTTATTTTTTATGCTTTGAATTATATTTAGAGAATTATTTCACTTGGTTATAGCTGAAAATGCAGTTTTTTATTGAAGAATTTAAGGATAAGAAGAGAATAATGTCCTTTCTAATTATTCTTGAAGCATTTAAATTTTTTAAAAAAGGGCACATTAATACAGATCACTGAACTAAGATGCTCGATACAGGACAGATTAATCACCTACTAAATTTTGATTTTCATTGAGTAAAAATGAATTCGTCTGCATTCTATAAGAAAGCAAATATTCAAAAAATGTTTTTTCTATTCTCGCAGTCATAATATTTTTCTTAAAATATTCAGCTAATTCATATTGAAATATTCCAAGCCATTACAATTAGTAATAAATCGATACAGTAAATAAATAATTAAAATCAATTAAACGGAATTTTAACTGATTTTAATTGCCATTTTCCCTCTGATAACCCCATCTTTAGAGTTCAATAGCAGTCGATCAGCTTTTGCCGGGGTTCATTTTTCCTTATGGTATGCTTACGTTATTTATATATTCTTTATGGTATGCTTACGTTATGTATTATGCATTGCTCATACTCGTCAATTGAAACTTTTAATATCTCTTGGAAAAAAATCAGTATGAGAATCCAGAAAATGATTCTTAGTGACGCTAAAACTATTATTACTAGGCATTGTCATGCCATAGTGTTTAAAAAAAAATACCATTGTTTAAAGGTAGATTCTATGCTCATATCCTAGTCTAAAATTAAAAGCTGCGAGTCAAAATTAAGGGGGTTGCTCTTAGGAAGCCTTAACTGGAAGTAGTTATAGGAAATGTTAATCAATACTTATTATCTTATGGATTAAACGCTTACTCTCTATTTGATCACGTGTATGGCAAACAGATATTCGTCATTTTTAAAGAAAAGAACGGTGAATGAAAATGAGTTATATTCTTGTTTTTCCAAATGCAAAACCATCTTAAGATACTATCGGATTTAATCTTTAAATTATTCCAATAATAATCAGAACAATGGGGGACATTATTCTTAACTATAATTTACTAATGCAAATCATATTTTGGTTTCAAATGGCTTTCATTAATTACATTAATGATTTGGATATTTACTAATCTACTGTTATAAAATACTAGTTTAAATACTTTTATTACTGATTATGTTTTATTATTTTATTAAAAAGCGTGTTTATTAATTTATTAATATTAATTATTTATTTATTAACCAAAAAGTGCATATTTATATTATTAAGCTGTTTAATGATACATAAAAGAGCACTTCAAAACTTTTCGTATCCTATGTAATTTGTCTCCATTCTGGTACCATGTGCATTCCTTATACCCAATACTGACTTGCAGTGAAGAACAGAGGAGAACTCTACTGAATGAGACCTAAAAACACTTTTCTTTTAAAATATATCTCCCCTTATGATCAGCCGTTTACTTTCCCCTTCCGTAATTAACGTCCGTTTCTTGCTCTTGACCGCATTTGCAAAGCCACCGCTTGGAGGTGCGAGCCGTGATTTGTTGTCCTGATCGAGTTCCCCCACGGGGGAAAACCAGTGAAACTACTGGCTAGGATCTGTACTTAGGCAATCTCAAACACGAGGATATATAAACAGTGTTCACAGGAATTTACAGTTTTCCATTCATTCGGAGGATGGTTCAGGCTCGGCAAGGACCGTATGGGACTATTTTGTCTGCCTCTTGTCTATGGGATTGCAACATGAGTAGACCTTGAGGCTTTACTTGAGGGATTGGCTTCATTCGGTCCTCTGCAGAGGGACTGACTGAGCAGATGGATCACCACATCGGAGTTAATTGTTGCGACTGGAGTGGTGCCCAACTACAAAGGTGGGCAAGAAAGGAAGGAGTTGCCAGCTCGGCACTAATGGCAAAGCACTGCTCCGAAGCTTCGGTCTCCAGATGGGGTGTTTCTTGCCTACATTCAGAAGTTCCCTTAACAGGGCTTCGATAGTATTTCGACACACGACAATTCCATACCAATCGAAAAATGGAACATTTCCGCATAAAAGAAAGATTCATTGTGTGATGGATAATAGCAATTTGTATAATTTAATGACATTTACGCAAAAATCACATCCGGGTTACTTTTCGATACAAACAACAGCGATTTTGATTATGAATTTGTTTTATAAAATTTTAAGCTGTTGATGTTATGTCGAGAATTTCAATTATTAATATGTGTTTCAAATTAATATTATTCTAATATTTTTATTTGTATTCATGTGTATTTTAATCTGGAAAAAAAGTATTCTTAAGCTCTTAAGGTTTTATTTAACTCATTATTCTTGAGTAGGAAATGTAACAAGGGCGAGAGGACGGTTGCGAGACCACACATCTGGTTTATGGCCTTTCCAACAATGAAGGTAGTAGGGTCTTTTCAGCTAATGCGTGGGAAACGGAAATCGCTTTGTTTAAAGTTGCAGTTTTCTTACTTCAAGACAGTGGGGGTGGCTAATTGTATACTCGTAAAAGCTAGTTTCGCTTGTTAGGGGGGGGTCTATTTTTTTTCTCACGTTATGTGAGTGCAGATGTTTTTCGGATTGCATTGTCAGATTTTCTGGTGTTTGATTCGTCATGGGTGTTCATTTTCTCAATTTAATAACATAAAATTCCGGGATGGTAAGATTTAATTTATGATTTTTTTTTGAAAGCCTATGAACTCACAGAGGCGGATAAACCGAGTTTCCTGGGTGCTTGCACCAGCTAGAGATCATTCTGATTCTGATTTTCAAGAACAGTAAGAGGAGAAAAAGTGGGGGCTTGACCCTTCGGGTCTTGCTTCTCGCGAGCCGCGTGAACAGCCGACAGAGGGTATGATTTTTCTCTCGGCTTTTAGCTGGCGAGAATTTGCGTTTGCATAAGGCATAGAGCTCAGCAGAAGAATTTCGATTTCTCTTATCCCAAGAATTGTTCGGCAGATTCTCTTCGTGATCCTGACATCCTCATGCGGTATTCCTGTTTTTACCGGCTTTGACTTCCTAATTAGATTTTGTTCCAAAGGTGCTCTACGCTTATGGTGAGTTTCGGGGCTTCCGGAATGAAAGAGACTCGTGTAGGTGGTGTAGACCGTGTAGACCTTCTAA